GAAGTAGAGATGTCTAGAACAAACATCGATCCCTAACATTTGTAGAGAGGTTTGTGTCAAAAGGCCCAAAACAGAACAAAACAAAAGATTTCTTTTTTTCTTTTTGCACAGGGCCTTGAACTTACTAGACAGGTGCTCTATCACTTGAGCCATTCTCCTAGGCCATTTTTTTTTTAAGTTCTTTAGCCTTTTTTTTTTTTTATTTTTCAGATAGGGTCTTGCACTTTTTGCCCAGGCTGGCCTTGGACCATGATCTTCCTGCTTACACCTCCCACAAACAAGTGCCACCACGCTTGGTGTATTGATTGAGCTGGAGTCTTGCTAACTTTTGCCAGGCTGGCCTTGAACTATGATCCTCTCAATCTCTGCCTCCTGAGTCGCTGGTATTACAGGTATGTACCACCAGGCCCAAAAAAAAAAAAAAGATTTCTTTTACTATTACAGCCTAAAAATCCTAAAGGTTTAAGGGAAGCATATGTTCACACTTTAAAAAATATATATATATAAATATATATATCTGTATAGATGGGGGGCTAAAGAGTAAGGAGGCAGATAAAGCCCTTTAGAATTATAGACTGGGACTGGGGGTGCAGCTCACTGTTAGAACACTAGCCTAGCATATTCAAGGCCCTGGGTTTTATCCCCAGCAGCATCACCCACTCCAAAATAAGTTGTGTAAAATTATAGACTATAGGTCTAATGCTGAAATTGTAAATTTAAACTATAAAAAATTAATAGTACATGAGTGAACAAATTATGCTTGCTGGAGTAAGAAGAAAGGAGAAGACCAATTTCTACATATGGGTCAAATGAAATGCCAGCAGCCCTGACATTTCATTTGTGTCAGGTGAAGTGGAGAAACTGCTTAGAAATCCCTGGGGGAACTGGACCATCCACCCAGGTGAGGGATTCAGCATTATAGAGATTAAAGGACATTTCAGCAATCCAAGAATATACACCTCCAACTTGCAAAGAAAGCTACAGGACACTTGCTGAGTGGCTGTGAATATTAGAGTGCTATGAACGACACAGAGGGTGGCACAGGCACATGTGACGAACGTTAGTGCATGACGCAGATGTGCAAAGGTGAGTTAAAAGCCAGTTCCAGTAGTCTGTGCATGACAGGTTTACCAGGCTGCTCTCTCTGCAGCAGGGACAACAGGTGAACTGGTGGGAGATGCAGGGTGAACAAGTATGAGTCTGAGATGTTCTGTCTTCAAAGCTAATACTGTTAATTAGGAACAAATGTCCAGTGTTTTCAATGATTTCTTTCTCTTTAAGTCTTCCATGGGTGCTTGCTGGTGTTATATGATAAACACAGTACAAACAGCGCCTAAAAATAATGGCTGTGACTATTTTAGAGCAAGAGAAATAAACACACTGGTCATTCTCTGCCACTGTTAATGAACCTGTGTCATGGGCTGCTCATCAGTATCTTTCATTAGAAGAGGGTGTATGGCCCATAGAATCCTGGTGCTGAGCTGCTTGTGTATTCTCTGTATCTACCAGGTCCCCAGGACTCAACTTTTCAGGAAAAAGATCTGATGGTCTTTTTTGTTTTTTTTGAGATGCTAGAGATTGAACCCAGAGTCTGGTACATGCTATACAAACACTCTTCCACTGAGCTATAACCCAACCCCAGATTTGATGTTTTAATTTCTTAAAACAATGCCTTTCTCTTAATTGTTCAAAATTGGAAAAAGCCAGAGCTGAAAATTTATTTGTTATCCTTTCATTCACTAATTTATATGTCCAGTAAAACATATCACTCTGGGTCCATAAAAAAACACATGAGCTTGTTAAAATTTCTGGGAGAGAACTATCAGGCCCACAAGCCAAAGTCAAGATTTGGAGACACTACTGTGTCCATTGCTGAAGTTCTAAGAATTGCACCAGAGAGAGGCAGAATTGGCACTCGGGTTTCTGACTCTCCCACTAGAGAACAGACAGCTGACCAGCCAGACTCAGAACATCAGGGCTTAAATGGATCTTGATACACGACTGTACTCCTTGAGCAATAGTGTCCATGCTTAATACACAGTGATTCTGTAATTCAGTTAATAAAGCTTTTCTCTGCCTATTTTAAAGTGTGTTGGATTCATGGGTGAACTGAAACGTCTTTCTAATACTTAGGTAGGTTTAGGTTTTGTAAGCGTTCTGTGGTTGATGGGCTGTTGAAAAAAAATGAGTGTTTTTCAATTTTGGGGATTTTTATTATCATATTTTTGTAGCATGTTCTAGATCACCTTCACGCACTTTATTTATTTTCCCTTTCTCCTGTAAAAAACTACTTCTGGGGGGGCATAAAGAAGTCCGTTCCATTTTCTTTGCTAATAAAGAGTTGACAGGAAATGTTAATAATAGTAATAATAATAATAATGACTTTGAATACTAACTCTTCATAGTTCCTCATTTAACAGAGGATGGAGCCAGGCCTGGGGAGGGGACATTGCTGGTAGGTGGCAAGAATGAATCTACCACATTAGTTTCCCACATATCTTAACACAGTTATTCTGACTCTAAAATTAAATTTTCAGCCAGGTATGGTGGTGCATGCCTGTAGTCCCAGCTACTATGGGATGCTGAGGCAGGAGGATCACTTGAGCTCACAGGTTTGAGACCAACCTGGGCAACACAGTGACAGCTCATCTTAAAAATCAATTGATCAGTCAATCAGTTCAATCTTTGAACATGTAATGAGACTGAAGATCATTAATGAGTTAAATAATATCCCACCATTTGGGGGGGAGGTGGTTCTGGGGTTTGAACTCAGGACTTTGTGCTTATTAGCCAGTAGCTCTACCACTTGAGCCACACCTCCAGTCCAAAATTCCACCTTTTTTTTCAGATACTGAGTTCTTGGTAACAAATGCTAGTCCGTATTCCTACCTAGGCTCTCCATCTGTCCACCTGCCAACCTAACTCTAACAAGTACCTCAAATGCACACTTATGTAAAATGAGAATATGAACCAGTTAACCCCATGGCATTGTGAAGGTGCTTTCTGGATGTTCTTACCTTCTCTTAGTTGTGCTGGGAAGACCTCATCAGAGAATGTTCTGCAAGTTCTTTGGCTGTGGCTGAACCAAGAATGACTTTTGAGTTCTTATGAGATGACTGTCAAAGTCAAATAGAGTGTCAGTCAAGAACTCGTTCAGCCAGGATGGAAACAAGGTTGCTGCAGAAGCTTTGAGGGTGTGGGTTGGTTTCCATTTTCAAGAGGAAGATATCAGGGGGTAATGTTCAAATAGTTAACAGTTTAGAGGGAACAGCTTGCCAGAGAAGTACAAAATCACACAAGAAACCATTACCAGCAGTTGTCTGATGTCTTGACAGGTACAATGATAGGCAAGACACATTCTGATGCCTAATGGGTTTTAGTAATGTACCCTGTTTTGACTGGTGTCAGTTTTAAAGTTTTAGAAGGTTTTGTTATAAGGGATTAAACTGCTAGATTTGGCTGGAAAATTGCTGGAAAATAAAAAAGAGAAACATTTTGTCTGTGTTAAGGAAAAAAACTGACCTTAAATTTGAAGGTGTACGATGTAGCATATGTAGCCCTAAACTGTCAGGACACACGAACATTTCCTATTAGAATCTTAGAATCTATGAAAGAAATGCAGCATCTCACACAATAACCCATCTATGGCCACCACCAAAACTCAAAGCTTGTCTTTTACCACTTATCTTTAAAATAATGTATTTAGGAAGCAATACAGGTTATGACTTGGTTCTTCTTCCAAAGACATACAATGTGGAAGCAAGACAAATCAACAAAAGCAGACATAAGAACAAACAAGAGTGACTACACGATCACCGCAGCAGGGACACCAGGATACCTTGTTTCCCTCTTCTCCTTCTGCCTTTATTCCTTTGGTGGCCAGAAGGTAGAAGTGTGACTGCAAAACAATGACTTTGATTTTTCAAGAGTGAATTGTGTAACTGGCTACATTAATCCTTCTCCAGAGGACAAACAGAGGAACAAGAGATTAACTGGATTCTGAAAAGTCTATTTTTCCTAATTTCATGAAACTCATGTTCATAGGACATCAGACCCCAAGACTCAGAAGCATGCCAGTGAGCAACCCTATCCATTCTGGAAAACATATAACAATTAGGGCAAACCATACAGAACAACTCAGAACCCACTGAAGCTGATTTTAAAAGACTGCATTTCATATTTGAGAGACATCTAAAAATTCAAAATAATCTCTGAACATCCAAGAATCTCAAAGTTAAGGACATCTGACCCCTGACTGGGGGAAGATTATTGGTGTATTAATGAAAGCCTAAAATACTCCTTATAATCTTGTCTGAAACCCCCATTTAAATTTTAACTAATAATTAACTTTGAGCTCACCCTAGGGATACCTTTCTCTTTAATGTGGCCATTCAGCACAGCCTATGGGCTAATACACTGTGTGGTCCTCATACAACCCCACGGTAGGAACAGAAAGGAAAGTTAGGCATTAGCCAGAGGCCTGATTTCCACACTCACCCTTTTGAATAGAGTGGGTTATGTCAAGGCCTTTTGGGGGATGGGGTATCAGTCAGGAAGCATGTCCCTGGGCCAGCAGGAATGAGTCCTTTATCTGATAGCACCTGGTGCACAAGACCTATGCACGTTTTTACTTATGAGCCTGTGCTCCTCTATACTAGTAAATACTAAGATTTAATGGGTATCCCAGACATTATCCATTCTCTAAACCTAGGAGGATATGTGGCTAGAACTTTTTCTTCACATATAAGTGAAGAGTTTTTCAAAACCTTATGCTAGAGAATGGCAGTGACTGAGCCCTGGATGGAATGCTCCTAGTTGTGTAGTGCTGGTGGTCATGGTATGGTGACCCTAGAAAAAGAAATAATAGAACCTGGCACAGACAGACATAACAGTGTCCCATCTCTCCCCAACCAGCCCCATGCACAGTGATTAAGTGAGAAGCCAAACACTGTCCAGGTGCCTGTCAGACTCACGGAGGTGCTGCTCTGCCTGCAACCTACCTGCTGTGGCCCTGTATGTCCCCCAATTCCTTCTGTAGCCTGGCGTTCTTCTCCTCCTCCTCCAGCAGCCTTCTCTTCACAGTGCGCAGCTCCTGCTGGGCCTCACATTTGATGTCATTGGCCACCACCACTGCAGTCTGCAGGTCTGCCTGGAACCTCCTCCATTCCTCAGTTTCCTCCTGAAAGTATCAGAGTCCACACCTGCTCAGACACAGGCAGGTGTGTTGGGCTGGCATCTAAGCAGGGGCTCTATAACCCCCGCATCAGTCACTGAGCAAGAATGGCCAGTAGTGAGGCCCTGCTTTAATAATGTCTCACTACCAGGAAGAGACACAGGTGGGAACTCCACCTTTATGTCACAGAGTTTATCTTAAAACTGAACAAATGCTTTAATTTTACTTCCTACCAACAAGAATGTATGATTAAGGGCTATGCTATGGAAATGTTCCATGAAAAAGCAGGCTTGACAGAGCAGTGGGGTATTTTCTCAATGTTTTCAAACTTAGGATGGGAATGATGCATAGCGAGAGGATGGAGGAGGCTCCTGTCAGGGCTATAACCCTCACTCACCTTTATCTGCTTTGTCAGGGTCTTTAGCTGCCGTTCCAGGTCTGACTTCTGCTCCTCCAGCTTGATCACATTGCCTAGAAGTAAATGATGTGGACAGGGGTTGGAAAGTTGCAAGATTCCTGGGAACAGGTAAGCTGTGTAGCAATGGGGCAACTCTGGAGGTCACTCCAGGCTTACAAAGCCATTCTTTCTACTCTAAGTTCAGTTTTGAGCACCCTGCAAAGGCGAAGCTGAAAGCAGGAGATTCTTCCAAGACTGGGAATGGGATGATGTGGGAAATGAGGGGTGCTTATTTAGGTCGTAAGTGCAGAACACAAGGTATACCACCATGGAGTAGTATGGGAAGAGACCACAATAGCCACTCACCCACACTTGGGCTGGACCTCCAACTACTCACACACAAGTGTCCTGATGGCCTTTACTACTGAGAGGCATAGGGCTTTTGGATAACAAAGGCTATGACTGGTTATTACTCCTGTGACTATGAAACTTGTTTTTTAGGATCATGGTTCTTTTTTTCTTTTCTTTTCTTTTATTCATATGTGCATACAATGTTTGGGTCATTTCTCTCCCCTTCCCCCACCCCCTCCCTCTCCCCCCCCCCACCCCCTCGCTACCAGGCAGAAACTATTCTGCCCTTATCTCTAATTTTGTTGAAGAGAGAGTATAAGCAGTAATAGGAAGGACCAAGGGTTTTTGCTAG